TTTTCCTCCTCCTCATCTTCCTTCGTTTCCTCCTCCTCGTCTTCACTTTGGTCTTCATTTTCGCTGTTGGCGCTGCTGCCAACGCTGACGTATTCTTCGTCGTCATCTTTGCCATCTTCTTTGGTCACCTCTTGAGCGCTGTCGTCCACGTCATCCTCACTGTCGTTTCCTTTGTCGCCCTCTTCATCCTCGTCGTCACTGAAGTGATAGCTGGTGACATGGCTGCCTTTTTCCTCCTCGCTGCTGATGTCTATTTCCCCCGAGTCGATTGCCTCCAACACCTCAACCAGGTTCTCGTACTGAAAGTCATACTTGCGCTGCAGGACACTGAAGGCTCGGTCAAAGTTCAGTTCGGCGCGAACCAGGCTTTTCAGCTCCTCCAGGGGAACTTTGCTGCTGATCATCGTAGTGGTAACGGTAGTTGTGGTTGTTGGGTAACGAAACTTTGCAGACTTTTACTTTTCCCTACTTGTCTTCTTTTCACAAAAAAAATTCAAGTGACAAATCGCCGGCGACTTGAACAGAACAGAAGAGAGGGGGCGTTTAAGAAGCAAGAGGCGAATTGCTGCTGCTCAACCGATTGTCGTTAGAATGCTTTACGGTGAAACGGTTTAAGAAATAGTGAGAGAGAGAGAGGGAGAATGAAAGCGCTAGCAAGCAAAGAAGAAGAAGAGTGTGTAATGCGACAACTCATCCATTACCGCTCTATTTATACGGCTGCTACTTCTGCTGACTCAAATAAATCTCCCGAATGCTGAATCGCCCTCCAGCTTTCGAACTTTTTTTCCTTTTGCTCGTCTGTCTGCCTGAAAGTGCTCCAGCTCATACAGACAGACAGGCAGATCTTTCATAATTTGGGCGCTATTTTCGGGAAGGAGGACGACAGCAAAAACGGCACACAGAGGTGCAGGTTTTGGTGCTGGTTTGGTGTCAGCAGCAGCAGAGACAGAGTTTAACAGATTGGCTTCCTCGCGGATACTTCTTCTTCTTCAGCGTCGCCGCTGTCAGAAAAAAGAGAAAAAGTGGAAGATTGGCGCCCAGTCATTGGCTGGTGGTGGTGCACCGCAGTTTCTTGCCTCCTCTTCTTTTTACTTTGTGTGTTCTGAGACATGCTAAAATGCATTATTATTATTATTGAGAATAGAGTGAAATGATAGTCGCTACAAAGTGTGCGTGTCAATGTTGTAATTAGTAGACAGAAAGTGAAAGAGACACAGAAAGAGACGCGTACAGACAGATTTCAGGCAGTCAGACACATTTTCGCTCTTTCTCTGTCTCCCGTACACGGACGATTTCACAACGGGGGAAAGAGGGAGCGATTGTCGCTCAATTGGCACTCGATTGATTGACTGCTGCAGGCTGAAGAAGTAGCAACAACAGCAGCAACAGCAACCACTGAACCACTGAGCCAACACCGAAACAAAGTGAGTCAGCTCAGGAGAAACGAGGCAGATGTGTGTGTGTTCAGAAATTGAGTGAGTGAGTGCATGATATCGACGATGTAGACGACGAAAAACAAAGCACAAGAAATACTTGACTACATGGTGGCATGCAAATTGGCCGCAGATTGGCCCAATTAGTGGGAAGAGAAAGAGACAGACGTGTATTGATGGCCAAGGCTGAAAGTGCTGCTGTTGTTGCGAGGTCGCCCCGGCCAGAGTTGCCTGGTGCTGCACCACGCGTCATCATTGTTGGCTGTGATCGTCATCTCCAGCCAGTCAGTCAGTCAGTCTTTCCCTGGCCGTCTGTCGTCTGGCCATCTCATTTGCAATGACCGTGCATTCTGTGGGGCGGATTTCCTCTTTCTCTCTCCCTCTCTCCACAATACCACCGATCATCCTTTCCTGCTGGTGCACACTTCTGTTCCATCCTCTCCTTGAGGCTTGTGTTCTGCCTTCCTTTCTCGGTGCAGTCTGCTCTCGTCCGTTTCCTTTGAATTTTGGCGCACACATGGTCGTTGTCCTGAGCACAACAACGACAACGACCACCACAACATCGACATAGGCCACACGCACTCAGACAGACCGACATTGCACACAGTGCACAGTTACATTGCACTCTGTGACATGTGCCACTAGTGCTCGTGCTATCATCTTCGTCTTCTTCTTCTGTGGTTTATTCCCTCCCCCAACACCAGCACTTTTACCAGCACTTCTGTTGCCCACCCCCTCGTCAGGCGTTTGCTTTAATTCTCTCCCCGTTTGCCAGAGAGGAAAGCACTGTTCACTTCCCGCTTTGATATTGCCCTCGCCGCTGTGTCGAGTGGCAACGGAAAAAAGTTTTACCGAAACTCGATAAAAGTGTGTCTCCAGAGTTTTTCTACTGTCGTCCTCAGCTGAGCAAGATTGTCTGTCAGTTTGTCCGTTCATTGCTGCTGCTGTTGCCATTGTCTGCTGCTGTTGTGGTTGTCATTGCCGAGGCAGATTTCAATTGCTGCTGTTGCTGTTCAGAGTGCACTTGGTGTGCTTCTTTCCATTTTTCACTATTTCGCTTCTGTC